AAGTGGTTCCGAGGATGTCCGAGGTAATGGATTTCCTACTCGAGACGCTGAATACGACAGGAGACCATTACAAGTCATATCAATCTTCCACACTTGATATTCTTCGTCGATTCCCTGATAATTGAGTATTTGTATCCAACGATAGAAAGTTGCGATTGAGATGTTATGTTGCTTAGAATTTAATCCTACAAACGTCAGGCTAGTTCATTAAGGGATAGAGAGGAGGCTGAGGACGGCCAGGGATATCGGGGCGAAACTGGCACTGGGGCCAGAGGGTAGCATAGACGAATGTAAAGTCCAACGTGAGGCCTCGCCTCGAAGGACAATAAACTTGGATTCAAAAAAAAAAAAAAGGGATAGAGAGATTTACTGGGTATGCATACCTCCAACTAACTTGAGGTAACCGGGGGCCCGGAGACGATGATTAAATAGGAAGACATCTCTTCCTTGATCCGTGGATTTCCTGGAGAGTAGGTGGCTGCAACTGGATTTAGTGTGTGTGTGTGGATGGGGGAACCAATGTAAGATCACACTGTTGTGCGGTTAAAAGGGTTGCGCATGCGTTCATCAGAGGAATTATGGTGGGACATCTTGTCGAGGATCAAGAGGAAGATCTGAGTGGTGGCTTTCTATCGATCGTCCTTGAAGGCCGTGGGAATATCTCTTTCTACGCTGTACTTCGTGAAGGTTACGATCTCCTCCTTGTCAGAGGTGGATCTATTATTGCTTCCGCGTGCGCTGAAGAGCACGAGCAAGATTATGTTACATGTACGTTTATTTTACGCCCCATTCTTTTCACTCTCGTTTTCTACTCTCAGATTACCCAAGCACCATGAAGTCGCCAATTCCGTAGGAGGTGTGATTCTAGCTTTGCAGGAGAAATGGAAACGACCGAGATCCTCCAAGATTGGTCCCTCTCTGATGCCCTGGAAAATACCAAGCAGCGGGTGATGGATAAAGTTGTGGAGAGTGGAACTCAGGCGGGTAGTGTGAGGATTTGTTGATATAAATGTGTTGCCGATACAGGTCTGGTTGAATTTTTCAGCGTGTGTTGAGCGGACAGTTTTTTAAAAATCGCCCAGTATCTTACAAGCCGGGCGAATCGAATTATTGTTCGTGGGCACTCGACTTCCTGGTTGAAGGGAATGAACCAGAATTGGAGGCAGTTGTCAATACCCCGACGTCGCAGGTACGCATCGATTACGCTACTTATGAATCAACCATTGTCGGCAAGAAAAGGATTCTATCCGAAACGGATTTATGTGATTTTTCTTCTCCTCTCAAATTTTTGAAGTCAGGAATTTGATCGTCCTTCTTTTTCAAAAATAGTTATTGTGTCCAGGGCGTCGGAAGGTCAGGATACCCTCAACATCTCGTCTGTGGCCAAATCCTAAGGGATGAGATACAATTCGCATTGCTGACCAAACTCCCTTTCCTGAGCACATCAGCACCTATTCTTCAATCCTTCAACCATCTAAGTTAGCCTTGATGGAATAGTTCATACCAGCGGCAATCCCGTTTTCCGTACTTTCGTGCCCTCGGCCTATCCTTTGTATATAAATCGGCCCGGTCCAAGGGAACTCTCTGTTTACTGCTCGAACATTCTTCACGGATTACTAATTTCCGTCGGTACCGCAGAAATGCTGTGCTATGTTGCATTTGGCGCCCAGCGGTCACTTATCTCTCACCATCACACTCTGTCCATCGAAGCCCTCCCCACAAAGCCCTTCTTCCAATACAATGTCAGATCGGCGGCTCGGAGAAACCCCACAGTGGACACCCCCCAAAGGTTCGATATTCTCCTCGGAATCTGATGGTGCCCGTAATGAACTCGGATGTTATAGCGCGGTTGAGATTGACTTTACAAAGGCCACCCAGTAAAGGTGGTACAGAAACAGCATATGTGGTGTATCCGAATACTTACGAAGTCAGTACCACATTCCCATTCCCTCGCTGAATTCATCTCATCAGTACGTCCTCGCACAGGAGGCAGTCGACCTGGTACACGAGGTTTATAACCTGGGTGATCGATCGATTAAGAAAGAAGATATCACCCTGTGCTGTTTGAGCACACGCCATATTGGATACGATCAGCAGTTCATGTGGGCAGCGATCATTCCGCGAGAATGGCAGGCGGTTGTTCGCCCACATATCGATGAGGTCGGAGTGTTTTTGGCACAAGACGAAAATGAGTGGAATGGAGTGGTTAGTCTTGGGAAAAGGGTGCGTGGGGGATGTTATCATTTCATTTCTTTGCGGTTTATACGTGGAACAGATATTGGGCCCAGCTAAAAGCCTGCTCGGTCTTTTGGCTATTGGATATGCGTTGCGCCGGAGCTGAAACCCGTCCCCTCATCTTCCTCTGCCTCAGTTTCTATGTATATCGCGTGACGCCAGATTGCTATGGTGTCGTTCATTATATGTATTACATATATCTCTTCGCCAGCTTGAAGAGCCGAAGGACGGACATTCAGTGGAATAACCCCATATATATTGTGCACTATGATAGACTATAATTACCTCCGAGTCCTCTTTCAGTAGATATTTACTCACCGGTAGCTTGATGTATGCGGATCTTCTCAAACTTGATCAATGAAGGGGAATAGGCTCTATAATACTCCCAAGCGTACTTCAGAATGAAGGGCTCGGGGATAGTGACGACAGATCGCCAGTGTTGATAACCAATATTGGTGGTCCTTGTCCGATATCTGAGGTTGAGAGGTTTATTAAATTTACTCGAATTTACTCTGATGACAGTAATATTTTCGTTTGCGGCCATGATCGAATGAAATGCTGCCCGTTTTAGAACAAGTGTGGCGCAAAGCGAGACAATTTTGGCTTGGGCGCCGTCGTAGGTACTGACGTGGCTATCCACTGCACATATCGGGCTCCATCGCTTTGAAATCTGCCCACCAAACTTACTTATACCTTCTTCAAGTTTCCGCCGACGTCTGCACTCGGATCCACGAAATCATATGCTAAGTGTGGGGCTCGGAAGCTCTTGGGACTGACGAATCCACCGATGCTGTTGCGCTCTGCACCCGAACGAAGACTAAGAGTCGACGTCACAGCGAACGACGGCCCATTATCCGGGGTAACGCCAATGTGCAGCGGTGATGCAAACTTCATAAATTCATGAAGTCAGCAGCGCATGAAAAAACCCAGATGAAAGCCGAAACATCTTTTCGCCCATATTTTTGCACGAGGAAAGCATGATCCAGGGAGGACGGCTATTACTGTGAAATAACTTATGGCTCCCGTGCACACACCTCGCAAGCCCAGCACTTTTGTCAATGATTACTTATATAGGAAGTAGGGAATCGTAGATCATTCATCAATGCATCAAGGTCAATCAACGACACCATGCATCGGGGCCTTTTTTGTGGATCTTCGAACTGAACCACCCGTCTGAACGTGGGTCCACTGCACGAGTCTCGGAAGCCGTTCAATCACCGAGCAGTTACAACCCAACAACAAAAAGAATGCAAGACAAGGTTTGGCCGTACGATTTGTGGTGTAAAGTCTCTGCCAGGGGTTTATACAAGGTTTATATAGTTCGAGGCACCTTTTTTACGAGGAGGACACCCATGTGACGATCGAAAATGAAATGCGGAGTCGGGGCATGCGGAGGACCCTGGATGGAGGAAGACGCCCCTAATTAGTACACATGTGGTACCAATGTTCTCACGGATCAAGCAGGGTCATGAATGATATAAATTATGGGACGAGAAAGCCAGAATTTCCCCAACTGCTTGTTCACTTTCTTTACGACCACACAAAAAAAACGTCCTTCTGAAAAAGATGTTCTCCAAGCTTTTCCTTGCCATCGCTGCTGTCGCCGTCGCCGTTAGCGCGCAAGATACCTCGTCCATCCCACCTTGCGTTCTTGCTTGTGTTGTTCCCGCTGCCACTATCAACAACTGCACTTTGTAAGTTTCAAACCATATTGCCCAATCGGTGTATGCTAACATCTGTCTAGCTCCGACGCCGCCTGCGTTTGCGCATCTGCCCAGTTCGTCGCCGACGCGACTTCATGCTTGACCTTGCACTGCACGGCTGACGACATTGCCGCCGCTTTGTCTCTGCAAACGTCTCAGTGCTCTGCTGGTACGTTACGCCACGTTTTCTTTCCCATTTCTTCCAACCATCTCATTCCGTTTCTCTATAGCCGGCATCACTCCCACCGGTACGGCCACCGCTCCCAACTCCATCCCATTCACTCTTGCCAGCTCCTCGACTGCTGCCAGTGCTAGCGGTACCGCCTCTGTCCCCGCTGGAAGCACCACCACCCATGCTGGTAGCTCCACCGCCACCACCCCAGCAAGCTCCACAGGCGCCGCTGCTGCCACCTCCAGCGCTGCTGCTGCCGGCCTCGTTGCCCAAAGCGGCGCCGTTGCTGTCATTGGAGCTGTCCTGGCTGGTGTCCTCGCGCTCTAGAGGATCTAGGCTGCATCGTGTGGGGGTAATACATTTTGTTGGAGTGATGACAGGATGATCAGGGTTTTTTGTGCCGTACCGAACTTTTCATGAACTTTTAGGACGTAATGTTGGGAACGAGATGATTCTTGGCGGGAAGGGTCGAGGGGGTACCGTACAAGTTGATATCAGAGGCTCCGTAATAATGAACCATATATTTTTTGAAAGCTGATTTTCCAGTAATAACGTCGTACGACATATGTATTCAACTCATATGTCGGGCTTACGTTCTTTCCAGAAAACAACCTCTTACGATCTCAATACGATTTGGTATGACATCTGTCTGTCATATGTCATACTAACGCTCCAAAAAGTATTACGCGCAAGGGACGACGTGATGTTGTGGGGCACTGGGCAGGGTGAATGCAATGTGCGATGTTCGGAATTAAAGTACTAGCGAATAGCGGCGTAACACGGTTTCGCCTCGCAATCGCTTCTCGAATCCCTTCATTGAAAGTTCATTCATTCCATCAACACCAACCCCACACTGGAGACTGCTAGACGCATCCCTCGAAAGATCGCCAGGGCTTTTGGCACAGTTGGTAGCGCACCTGCTTTGCATTCTAGTTGTGCAAATTGCATGAGGTCGAGGGTTCGAATCCCCCAGAGTCCATGTCTTTTTTGCGTTCTCCGCTTTAGTCGTCGTAATGGCGGGTTGCAAAAGCGATTTCCAATGCAAGGCGTTCAAAGTTTGAGCTAGCGTTGGTCCAGGAATCAAAGCAGATGGAGCCAATCTGATATTACTTTTCAACCTTCGACAGGTTATCCCATGCGCGCGCTTAATTAACCACTTGCAAAAAAGAAGCTGCCATCGAAAACGCAAACGCAAAAAAATGCACACCAGAGAACATGGACACTGAGGGAATTGAACCCTCGACCTCACGCAATTGCAAAGAAATGCGAAGCGTGCGCGCTACCAACTGTGCCAAGGGCCCATACTTGTCCGGGTCGGACCGGTACCAGTTAGACGCGCAGTACCCGAGATCCAGCATCTGTCGCGCCAAATTGTAGATTCTGGGATGAGGCAACAGCGAACGATGGTGTGCTCGGAATTGGAGGAAGCTGTTTTTCCAACGGTTGAGGCAAGTAAAGGTACACAAGGGTACGCCGTCAGTGAATCAATAGAATGTCTGAACCTGGCGGCACACGTTCCTTCTAAAATTTCAGGGATTGTAATATACATAAGATCTGCGCCATTATTCTCACTGACAGCATGAGTTCGGTTGAACGCTATTGAATTCAGGGTTTTGAAAAAAAGAAAGAGGAGTGTATCATGCCAAATGGTTCCGTGAGAAGATTTGTTATCTTATCTCATCCTATTTTGACAACGTTCATTATCTTTTTTTGCTTCAGACCCCCATGAGCGCAACACCGAGGCGTGATGGACGAACGGCCGACGGAATACGGAATATCAGGATCTCGTATGATGGACTTGCACGAGTAGACGGTTCGGCGCGGTTTTCATTTGGTGAGCTTGGGCAAAAAATTGACAATGAACCTCTGATCGTTTCTCATTTCGCAGAACAGGTGGCACTGCGGCTCTCGCTTCGCTATCAGGGCCTATCGAAGTACGCCTAGCAGCGGAAAAGGCGTCTAAAGCTACATTCGAGGTGAATGTAAGGCCGCTTTCCAACGTCCCAGCCACGGAATCGAAATCCTTAGCGACAGCGATCCGCTCAAGCCTGGAGCCGTCACTTATTCTCACAAAAAATCCTAGAAGCTTGGTGCAATTGGTCGTGCAAAGTCTCAGCTACCCCACGAGCAAAGACGCGCTCTCAGCTGCCATGATCAACGCCAGCTCATTGGCGTTACTCAACGCGGGTTCGGTGCCGATGCGTGGCCTGGTTGCTGCAGTCGCCGTCGGTCGTGTTTCTGGTGGCCAACTAGTGCTGGATCCCAGCGAAGAGGAGGCCGTTTCTCTGGAAGCTGGAGGGACATTTGCGTTCATGTTTGCTGATGGTATAGGTCGGAAAACCTCGAATTCGGAATGTGTGTGGACAAACTGGAAGTCGGATTCTGGAGGTTATGATCAACGCGAGATCTTTCAGGCGAGAGAGTTGGCGAGGACCGGGGCTAGGGCCGTGTATGAGGCCATGAGGACAGACTTTGAGAAGCCGAGGATGGTTGCGCATGTGCACGAACAGGTGGAAGTGGAGACAAAGTCAGAGGACCATGAGATGGAGATTTAACGTTTTAACCCCATTGGAGCGTTGGTGAGCAACCTTCTTTGCTCTTTTCCCTGTTTGTTCATCTGAAACGGAACGATAGCGCAGTTTATTCTGGAAGATCGTTGCCATTTACCGATAATCATTAGAGGACGTGACCTTCTACTGGCACCAGCATGGCGATATCATTATGATTGTGGGTAGTATCTACTCATAGGTTGTAATCGAAGTACTTAGGCTGTAGCGTATCAGCGAACGCCTATTTCATTTCCACTGCAGCCGCCGAATTATGTATGTACCTTACCCCACATCCAAGACGATCCTCAAGTACCCCATTCTTGGCATCGGGCAGAATCGCGGAATGCGAAATGCCTTGGGAGCTTCGAGTTCTCTGGTCTTCCCATGTTATCATCGCTTCTGTGGTCATGGAGATATTTACCAGGTTCGAAATGTGCACATTGTGTATGTGTAGATATAGAATACCTACGTCGAGTACATCACACAGCCATCTCTGGACAGGCGTATATGGCTCTTTCCGGACAGAGTATAACGGCTCCCGGTGCGATCTCCAGGGGATCCATGAGGCTTCGGTTCATCATGTCCTTATCCGGGAGGCTGAGGCCATTTTTTAAAATGCCGCTTTCCGAGAACATCAACAGGTGACCACGGCCACGACACCCTAATTCTCTTCCGATAATTCGCTTCTTTGAAGCTTGAATATTCTATACCGATGCACCATGGCTTTTCCGCTGATAGAAAGGTTCCAATCGGCCCTCGCCTTTGTCTTCCGAAATGTCGCCACAAACACACTAAACGCCAACATCTAACCGTCCAGCCCAAACCTGGTCCCTGAATCCATCCTTCTTATTACGCAACCGCTTCGAGGGTTGCATTACCTCATGACATATAGAGTTTCTCGGCGGACAGGACTCCAGGAGTATATATATAACATAACCCAGCAGTAAGTCCTGAGAACATGCAAGCGCCCACTCCACTTTCTTTGCGCCGTTTCCGCTGTTCTTTGCCGACGCTATGAAGTTTAACCCCCTGTCCCTGTTCCCGTTCTCTGTGCTGAACCACAATCCATGGACTACAGAGCTTACGCCTGTGTTGAAGGAATACGATTATGTTGTTATTGGAGGAGGCATCGCGTAAGTCATTTTTCGTTCGCTGCTTCATCTCCGAATGGTTTTTTGCTGATTACTTGAATGGATGATAGCGGACTGACTGTTGCCAGTCGGCTGAGCGAGAACCCGGCAGTGACTGTCGCTGTTCTCGAAGTTGGGTCCAATGTGGAAGATTTACCTGAGGTAAGGCGGAATGCTGTCGTGTATTCCAGCCGTGCTGATGATACTCGTGTTAGGTGTATATTCCAGGATTGATTGGTTTTGGACAGTCGTTCACTACTCTGAACTGGGCTTATGGGACGGTACCTCAACCCGAGTTAGGTGGGCGCAAAGCCGTCATCAATGCAGGAAAGGCGCTTGGAGGGGGCAGTATCAGTATGTCTTCTTATTACGATCTTGTGGTTCTTGTTCTAATCCAATTTTAGTTAACAGCATGATATTCGTATGTTCAATATCGACTTCCTTTCGAATCGATAACTGTATTGACGAACTTCTTATCATCAGCCTCGAGCAGAAAAGGGTCAATACGACGCCTGGGGTGAACTCAACAACCACGACCCGAACTGGACATGGGATTCTCTTCTACACTATTTCAAGAAATCGGAGATACTCACTCCGCCGAACGAAGACCAGGTCGCCGAAGGTGTGAAATACGTGCGCGACGTTCACGGGACGTCTCAAGAGGAAGGCCGGGTTAAAGTTGGGTTTCCTAACTACTTCTACCCACAATCGAAAATGTGGCACGCCGCGTCGGGATTCGCACTTTCGCCTGATCTCTCAGCCGGACATCCTCAAGGAACAGTAGGGATTTCTATCAACTCCCTCGATGCTAAGAATAATACTCGGTAAGTTGCGGTCCTCAACATTATTACCCATTGATGGCCGTTCTCATCTTCTGATTCATTCATTTCGTTGCATTACAAAAAAAATCAAGATGTTCTTCGGTCTGCGCCTACTATACGCCTTTCTCGGACCGTCCTAACCTAACGATGTTGACGGAGGTTCTCGTTACCCGGATTCTCTGGGAACAACCGCAGATACCCGCGTCGCCAGGCGCTGCGATTGTGAACGCCTCGATCGTGGGCCCACCGAGGATAAAAGCCGTTGGTGTCGAGTTTACTCATACCAATAATGCACATGGACAACGGGATCAGGTGTATGTCGGGAAAGAAGTCGTCGTGGCTGCGGGTGCTATTGGTAGTCCAAAAGTGCTGGAACTATCGGGTGTGGGTAACGCCACGTATGTGCTGATTTCTCTCTCTTTCATTGTTCCTATTACAGGTGATTGACGAAATCGTTTTGTGCAGTATTCTCAAAGCGGCAGGAGTCGACCAAGTGTTGGATTTGCCCACAGTTGGCGAAAATTTGGCAGGTAAGGTTTCCATTGATATGTAATCCATCGATGGTAGGTTGTCTCATACTCGTATACCCGATAGATCACGTTCATAGCTGGGCAAATTCGTTCACTAATGCGTCGTGAGTGATGATATCCTATTCGCGAAATCAACCTTCCCCACTAAACAACTATCTAGCGTAACGCGGGATCTACTTCGATCGGACCCAACTTTCGAAGCGGAGCAGAGAGCATTGTGGTATCACAACCGTACCGGTAAGCCTGCTTCTCTCCACCAAACTAAGTGCAATGTATCGCAGAGAGGAAATCTTACGATCAATTCTATTATAGGTGTTCTCTCTGCCTGTCCTCGTTCGCTCGGTATTGCCGCAGCGTCGGATCTGTTCCCTAAGTCGCAACTCGCGAGCCTTGTAAACGATGCGAAGAGGGATCTCGCACATTACGCGTCGCTCTTCTCCAACGGAAATGCAAACCTAGCAAAGGGTATCCAAGCACAACATGAAATTGCTCTCAAATTCTGGGAGGAAGACAAGATCGCGCCTGTTGAGATTAACCTCGGTATGAAAGAAGGCGTTCGTCATCTCATCGATTTCTGACACTTTTTTGTCTTTTTTTCGCAGAACCTGGTTATTCAGGACCCACTGCGCTCGCCGACAGGCCACACGATAAGAAGTACACCTCGATAAACGCCGTCCTATTCGCACCGCTCTCGCGCGGACGTACCCATATCCGATCCTCTGACCCTTCCGAGCTTGCAGCGATTGACCCAGCGTACTACGCGCATCCGCTGGACCTCGCCACCCATGTGAAGAGTATCCAACTCGGGAGGGAGATGCTTCGGACGCCGCCTCTGGATGAGATTTATCTCGGAGAGAATGAGCCTGGAGAAAATGTGAAGACAGAGGAGGAGCTGACGAGGTGGGCGAGGGCGGTGTCGGGGAGCGATAATCATGTTATTGGATCGTTGGCTATGATGCCGGAGGAGCTGGGAGGTGTGGTGGATACGCGGTTGAGGTTGTATGGGGCGCGGAATGTGCGCGTTGTTGGTGGGTAACCCCCTTTTTTTCCTTTCTTTTGTTTTTGGTTCTTTCTCTTTTTGTATAACGGAACGAACGCTTATGCGGACCTCGCTGCTTTCATAGATGCCTCTATAATTCCGTTTCCTATCAGCGCGCATCTTGTCAGTCTTTTAAGACTCTCTTTAACCTGAAATAAAACTCATAAAGCATGACAGGCCTCAACAGTATACGCAGTGGCCGAAAGGGTAAGTTGATATATTAAGTAACCTA